TTTCCTCTCTCGCGCTGCTGTTCCAAAGCCGTTCAAGCTCGATTCACGGCGTCGAGCCACGGGGCCCAGCTCACGACGCGGCAGTGGCTCGACTCTTCGATGCTAGGCATAATTTCAGATTAGTGTCTTTGCGTGCGCCGCGCAGAAGTCACTCGCTGGCGGCGCCTCGTCTTGCGCGCAATGGATGTAACGACGCCGAAAATAATTTATCGGCGTGTCAATTATTTTGCTGTTTCGTAATCGGAGAGCGGCGGCGATTTGCCAACGACGAGCAAGCGGCAGCACACCGGATCCGCTTTGAGAGCACGGGCCAATTAGAGCGCCGCAAAAAGGAATCTTTTTTTTACGAGCGCCGTTTCGCCAGAAAATGAGATGTGCCAAGCTCCTTTTTACGAACAGCGCATTATCATTTTTTGGCACTGTCGCCGTAAACAAGCTATTCGCCCGGAGAAAATATGGTTGTTGAGCGGCCGCACTGACGAGTTGCGAAGCAAAATCACACGATAAAATTGAATGTTCCGCGAGGGCATTTACACCCACGTGAAAAGTAGCTGCTTCCGCCGCGGGTCAAACGAGCACTTTACAGCTTCTCTTCGCGCGGGCATGTAGCGCAGCTCTGCAGATTTTACGTTTGAACGATTACCTCCATCTATAATTGCTTCTTCGTAATACTTGGAAGAGCACGTCTTTGGATGCCGTTACTCATTGCTCGATTGTGCAGTTACGCGCTGGATGCCTATATGCAAAGCGATTCTGCCGCGATATGGAATATGTGCACGCTCTCGTTATATCGACACCGACTATCTTCGCCCGTCCGTAATCAATTTCAACTTTTATTTATTCTCATTGAATGCACAGTTAAATTCAATGTAAGCATTTAACAGAAGTCCGCCGCGTGGACGAGCGAACATCTGCAGCTGCGAGAGGCCTTGAATAAAGAAATCGGATAGGAATAATGGAATATCAATTTGGATTTTGTGCTCTTGGATTATTATCGGTTATAAACAGTCGATACAATAGCACGTGGTACGCAACAAACTGGCGTATGCGCGGCGATGCGCAGGACCCGATAACGTTATTTCAACTATAATTTTCGAGTAAGAATCGATATGTAGGCTAAGCGTGGAATTTATTGAATAGAGAGCGGCACTACAATAGGCAACGGGGGCTCTGTGTATTCAATAAAGCCAGCCAGAGAATCCAATTATGTCGTACACGCGAAGCTTGTTATGGTTTGTAATAGACGCTTCTAGCTTGTTAATAAAGCAAAAACAAATGGATTAATGTCCGAAGCGGCGTTGCGCTCGCGAGGCCGATAACGTATAGCACTGTTTTCGCGGGGCAACGGCGGGAAACGCATTTTTCTCACGGCGCGCGGCGGCCGAGCGAGCGCGCGAGCTCGACTCGCCCATTTTTCCGCGACAATCGCGCGAGTGGAAAAATCCGCGTAAAGTCAGGCAAAAAGACGAGCACAGAGAGGAGCGAGCGAGAAGCGCTACAGCGGCTGCCCTGAAAGGGGCATATGTAAAGGGGGTCGACGCGTACGTAGTAGTGGCTTAGTAGCGCGGCATCATCGAATGAAAACAGCGCGGTTTTTCTCTCTCTCCTTTTTTTTTTTTTTTTGTTTCTTTTCTTTTTTTTTTTTTCTTTTTGCCTTCCTTTCTTTCTACGCTTGGGGTTCAAAAGAGCGAAGAAGCGCCTCGCTTTTTTTTCCATACTCGCTCGACTTTTTAGTCGCGCGCTCGCCTTTCACGCAAGACGTGACGCTGAAAAGGGCCACGCTACGCTAATTATACGCGATCCCGTACCTACACTCACGCATGCACTTTGTCAGTGCAGGCTGCTGCACGCTAAAAGGGATGAGCCTTCGCCTGCCCCGTCTGCGCGTGCGTGTAAATGCCTCGCGACGGATGTCGTAGTGTGTTGTCATTTATTTGGAGAGTCGTTCAGAACGCCGTTGCGAGTCGAGCAGAAGATTGAATTGGTGCATCCGCCAATAATGTCTACTGCGATAGGTGAATTGTTCGTTTGAAAGTTTTCATTGTGATCGAGTGGTTATTATAGAAAATGAAAAGCGCAGAGAAAGCTAGATGCTTTGATTCCGATATAAAAGCCCGCGTAAAGATAATACTCCGATAAGGTGTGGGGCATAAGTTGTGCCTTTTTCGATCAAAGTATTGGAAAGCGCATTTTTTTCATGCTAGAGCACCTTATCCTGATGCACTGATTGCCTGATTGCACTATGGTTATACAACGATAAAATCGTAATTGTGGATAGACGCTTGAGTAGTGTCAAAGAAACAGCCTTACCGTTATTTGAATTATGTCGAGATGTCTACAGATAGTTAAAAATTGAAATTATACGTTATAATAAGATGCATCTCAGTCAATGATGGATGTTAGCTAGGCAGTAAAAAAAAGAATGTGTGGCGATGAAAAAGCTACGAGTGCGCCGTCAACAAGCTTGGCGACTCGATGATAGACGAGCTTCTCGCCGGTAAATCTGCTTTAAACTTTCGCTCGACTCCGAAGATTGTTCTAGGGCTTCGCTCGCTGCTACTTCGGGATCGTTCGCTGGCGAGCCAACGACTTTCGAGCGATAATGGCAATCTCGAGCGGCGCCTTGTTTTGAACGCGGCGACCTTTCGCGGTATATACCAACCAAGTGAATTATAAACGTGCCTCGGGCTATTGCCGATAAAAGCACGGGCTGCCCATAATACCAATAACATTTATTCCAGCCGCGAAGGAATTAACTCTTTTTTCAGATAGCAAGCGAATTGTCGTGCGTTCGAGCATGTCAAATTTTTATGACGCAGTCGTTTCGGCTAGGCTATCGTCATCGATCGCGTCGGGGACCAGTGCTATTTCGTCTTTATAGGCGTTTCCTTTAATTGCCTCGCAGAGTCGCGAACTGTTTCGGTTATTGTAAGCAGCATCTTGCGAATTTTCACTTTCATAACGTGACGGATGTGCCGAAAAACCCGATACGTAGCCTCTGCGAATTTTTTCAAGAACCAATATTGAAAAACCATTTGAAAGGTGTTGAAGTTTATAAGAGCGATAATAAAAGAAGAGGCAAGCTTGCCAGAAGCTTTCGGGATGCGTAGGTTGCGCGAAGAGATAGAGATAATCCGTGCGGGATTTTCCCTGACTGGAACTGCGTGCACTCGCGAGTTACACGGCTCTCTCTCTCTCTTTCTCTTTTGAGTGGGAGCTAGAGAGAGAAAGAAAAAGAAGCTGCACGAGGTGTCGTCGTCGTCGTCTCGCGCGCGCTTGTTTTCTTTTAGTTGCCAGCTCCCCTCGATAGTTATAAATTGAATGCGATACGTTTCTGGATTGGGAAAGAAGGTTTTATCGACTGGCTTGAAATACGCGCGATAGCTTCAAGCTATACGAAGATTTTTTTTTTGTTCTCTCGCTCGGCAAGAGGAAACTTTTGCTTCGTTTTTGCTTCGTTCAGCGATACATATGCTCTGTTCGCGTATTCGGGAATACCATGCATTATGTCTACCTTAAAATAATCCGAGACATCGACGTTCCATGAAAATTACTTCATTTTCGACCTCTCGAACTGCACCGAATAGTTTTCTGCCGTTACGGGACCGACTCTGCATTCAAAACTTACAGTACCAGGTTCGCTGTCGGATCAAGCCGTTCATCTCCGTCGAGGTTACGCAGTAGCCAAAGAATGGCTTTCCAATCCTCCACGCGTGTACATGTACCGTTTGCGTACACATATCTCGCTATACTTGAAAGCGAGGCGGAATCTCGTATTCCATCACACTCGAGACGCAGCAGACGAAGCTTCCGAGTGTCCTTACGCATACCGTTGTCGCGATCCCTTCGCCGCGTTTGTTGTTTCATCTTGTTTTTTTTATTTTCTCTTGCTTCGGTGTGAGACGCCGTTATATCGGCGCGCAACAATGACGGATCAGCCAACAAAAGGCGCGCGCGCGTGAGGCAAGAGAGGATTTATATAAGAGGCGGGCCTAACAATTGCGTCGGGCTTTATTTGGTCAGCGCGCACCAAAATCCTCGTATTTATTCGTGGGCCTTTGATGATCTCGTGACAAATGGCGCGGTTTTCCCTCGGACAAGTCGAATGCGCGCGCGTTACCCAATTGCATGTCGTTCGGGATATTTTCTTCGGCGTCGACGGAGTCTCTCTGGAATCCAGACGAAGCGTGCGGCGCGTAATGACTGCTGGCTTGATTAATCGTTGGACCGCTTGACAATTGCGGAGAATTTTTTTATTCCCACCGGAAATCGAGCTGCGCCCTTTTTGCAACCTGCCTTTATCGCCGTGAACGCGATGAATAGTGATAAAGCCATCGTCGACAATCGAAAGAGCAAAAAATCATCCCAATTGAAAAAAGCAGCCATTACCGGTGGTGTGCTAAAACGTTCCCACGTGTTGTCAAAAACAAGGGAGTAGCGTCGATAGCTGTCAATTAAAGTTTCGTTTCGTACGTACACGCGGTCAAAATGATTTCACCGGTGTCCGACCCATAAATCTGGCGATCGCGCACGAAAGTTTATTCTCTCTTTCTCTCTCTCTCTCTCTCTCTCTCTCTCTTACTCTCGCGGGGCTATAAAACAATCAGTGTTTAGACACGCGTAAAAGATCCCATCCCGATTTGGTCGAGCCAAAGAAAGCTCGACGCCGAAGGAGATGAAGTGGAAAAAGAAGGAGGTAAGGAAAACATTGGTCGCGTTCGCGGGAGGGCGACCCGTGATTTGCATTTGAAAAAAAAAAAAAAAAAAGAAAAATATATGACTTTCACCTTTCGCTCGAGATATCAGGCGATTGTAGACCCGTCGGTGCAAACACAACGAGGCGACGGCACGTACGTAGAGCCGCCGCGGCTAACAGTATAAAGGCGCTCGCGCACAATGCAGGCGGGCCGCTGTTATTTGTCGTTATTTTTCGGCGCGTCGCTCTGTGCCATCCTTAGCTGCACACCAGGCAAACTAAAGCAATGTGATTTCCGTTTCAGCGTGCGACTGCCATCCGATCGGTGCCGTGGGGAAGATCTGCAACCAAAGTACCGGACAGTGTCGATGCAAGGACGGAGTTACCGGGATCACCTGCAACCGATGCGCAAGAGGCTACCAGCAGAGCAGATCGCACATTGCCCCCTGCATCAGTAAGTCGCTCGAGTTCGCCGTGTGCTCAGTGCTGAATAAAAGCCGACGCCGGGAACGCCAGCGGAAAAGGTCCGCCTTGCACTTGCGGCGCGGATGTGTTCTGCGAAGAAAGAGCGCCAATCGGTATAATGACGCGCGCCGGCAGCGGACGGTAGCCGGAAATAATGACCTGGTGCATTAGCGCCGAGCTACGATCGTGCTATTCCCTGATAGTTCTAATTTATTTAACGCCATTGAATTCGCGCGACAGCCTGCGCCAATTTCACTCCGTGAATTGGTTTATTTGTTATTATCCGTGACTGTCGGATTAAATGGACTTAAGCTACGTCCTTAATCAGACTTTAAAATCCTATCGATTATATAAATGTACATGCGTATATCTAGAAGCAGTTTCAATTTCCAATTGGTAGTCTGAATAGTGAGTTATTGTTTGGCGAACAACGGGGAGCCATGCTGAGACTAGTTTAGCAGCACGCGGCACGTAATTACAAGTCATTACAAAACTGGAATAGAATTAACGAGCCGTGTAAACGATTCGCGATAATAATCGAGCCGATCGCTTTCGCGCGGATTCTCGTTGCGAGATACATGGATTAGGAGGCTTTTGCCCGCCTCCTTGTGGCGCGGAGGAACGAAGCCGTGGCCAATTAGCGGAGGAGCCCCAGCGCCGTTCGGCCCGGATACGCTGATGCTGTGTTCTGTCTCGCCTTACAGAGATTCCCAATGTCGTCCAGACGCAAGGCATCGAGGGCGAAGACAGCGGCGAACGCGATCCCGAAGAAGACGAGGATCGATACGACAGCCGGAATGGTGAGTAGCCGCACACTTGCTCGCGATCGCGATCGATGGATTCCCAATGTTAGCGACGCTTTGCAAAGGAGTAACGAAGAAGAGTATATTACGAGATATTAACAGGTGTCGATGCTTGTACCACCGGCCATTGGCGCCGAAGGCCTTTCGAAGGTTCTCCGATGGCATAAGTTTTAATGAGTTGCAGAGAGAAGTTGAGCGCCCATTAATTGAGAGTTTTCGCCATGAGTTGGAAAACTCGCGAGCGAATGCTTTATTCGATTAGCAGCACAACACAGCTTCTACTCTCAACTATTTCCAGTATATATCAACGCTTAATTTCAAACTCTTAACGAAGTTATTTCTTATTGACCTATCGCCGCGCCGCTTCAACGCTTCACAGGCGAGTTTAAACTCGGCGAAGCTTTTCACAACTATTCAATTTCTCATGCAATCCACATAATTACGTTTTATCTTTCGCTCGAAACTTTAGCGTGCAAGTTTAACAGTGATTAAGCTCGAAATACGCATTGCTTTTGCAAAAGGAATAAAGAAGCGGCTGAGCTTATAGACCGACGCAAGAAAATTACCGAGCGAGTGAAATTCTTCCCAGCGCGCCTGGTAAAGAAGCCACGAAGCCTTGTTAATCCTCGCGGGCAAATTGAGCAAAGCTCAAACCTGCTTTGACTCGCCTACAAATTTAAATCCAACGCAGCGGCGGCAAAAAAGACAGGCAAGAGCGTGACAAATGAGCTCCCGCGTCGCCGAGATAAACAGCGAGTAATCCTTCCCGTTTCTTTCGCGTCCGCGGCCGATGGGAGAACTACGAACAAAGCGAACGGACGCGCGCGACACGGAAAAAGGAGCCGAATTAACGAGAGCGCGGAGAGGAAGTAAAGTGCCGCGCCGACTCTCGCCGTTCTTATCAATCTATAAGCGAAAGCTCTCTCTCTCTCTCTCTCTCTCTCTCTCTCTCTCTCTCTCTCTCTCTCTCTCTCATATAAGAGTAATAACCGTCCCGCGCTACCCGCTTTTCCACGAGCTTTATCTCCATGCGCAAATGACCTCGTTGAGCTGACACGGCCAACGTCGGCGATCTTTAAATCACGGTTTCCATCCGCGCTTCATTTGTCGCCGCATCCAGGCAGCACGTGTGCGCGAGCATTCTACAACACAACGGCGGACGATTGTAAGATGTAATCTCGATTGGCAATCGGTTAACACGGCCATAAATCAGTGCACAGCAGCAGCTGCAAAAGATTGTTTTTTTATTTATTTGCATACGTTAGCTTGAATCCAAAGCTACTCGTAGACCGTATGCAATCTAGCCGCCGTCGCCAGGCTGTTCATTTGTATGTGATTGCGCGGGTGAGATTGGATATACATAATATCGCAGGCAGAGGAGGTGCGCAGGTGAAAATACGTTGCGCGCGGGAGAAACTGCGCCAGCGAATAACCTATTCGTGCGCACGTATTTCGTTGCAACGGAGTTTCTTTTTTCTTCTTCTTCTCTGCAGCCGTGTAAGTTGTAGAGAAAGTCGCTTTAGTCGATTGATCGAGCTTTTTATGTAAAAGGATTATGAGCCCCACTTGAATGGCTTACTTTCTTGCTGCAGCGCGCGAGCCGCCTTCGATTTGTAGAGTAATTTTAGATGCTCACAGATTGGAAAGTTGCACTTTACTGAGTTACACATTTGCCTGTTGAGGCAAAAAGCAAGAGTAAAAGACTCCTAATAGATTTTCCAATTATCTCGAATAAATAATAAACGTAAAATTAATGTTGCTTGTATATTCGTGCATAAAACATACTGTGAAAGAGAAGTGACGTCTGGACTCGGAGTAAATAAAAGTGTAGCGTATTCGGGGTGACATTCCAGTTGAAAGGCTTTTTATATTTTTTTTAACGATCGAAACGTAGACAGGAGCAAAGCAATTTAAATATCATCCGCAAATTATTGTAATGCATTGTAACTGACGGCCGAGAGGAGGAGCTAGCGGTCATCAATAAAACATTAGCGTCTAACGAAGATCATTAATCAGCGTGGGTTGCGCGGATGCACGCGCGGACGTCGTCGGAGCAGGCGCGGCGGCGGTGGCGGCGGCCGCGCGCAGGCAGGCAGGCGGCTAGTCGCTAGAGGAGCGAGCTCCTCGCGTCCTGGCAGCCTGATACCGCGAGTCGGCGTGCTCGTGCGCACAGGCGCGCGTGCGACGAGGGAAAGGGAATCGCTCGCGCCGCGTCGCGCAGCGCGCAACGCGCAACTCTGCGCCACTCGAGCGCGGCTGTCCGTGTACGTACGCACACGACTCGGCTTGCGCCGCCAAGCCGACAGCTGATCGTTCTGCGGATTTCGCGGGAGCTGCGGCGGACGCTGCTAGTTCGTTTTTTCCACGCGGTCAAATCCAATCGATATTCGCGTATATCGCTCGAGAGGAGCTTGTAAAAAAACCACCATTCGGCTCTATCCTCATCACGACTGTTCGGCATACAGTCTAATACGGAAAATTTCTGGGAAAATGATCCGACGAAGGCAGTCTAACAGCTTCATTAGGCGCAGAGAGAGAGAGAGAGAGAGAGAGCAAACGACTATGGTAGTCGTGCTGCAGGATATAAGCCTCGAGGGTACAACGTGGCTTAACATCGCGGAGGACAAAACAAACGTTGCAAACTTTAACAAGATCTTGAAAAGCCGCTCGAGCGATCGCCATAATTATGCTCGGGAAAGACACGCGCGCATATATCAGAGCGCAGACGCACGAGCAGCTTCGCCTCCTACGAAGAATACCAAGGTATCCCTTGAAAAAGTGCCCGACCTAAAAGGCTACCGCCGCCACCTACAAAGCTCGCGTGACGCATGCCTCTCGGCGGCCGCCACTCGCGCGTCATTCCCAGAGCGTCTCGTCCGCTCGCTCGGCGATTGGCTGAACGGGGCTCGCTCGCCGTTGCCGCGCGCAAGTTGCCGTTTCGGGAGCGAAAATCTCGTATGAATCTTGGCGTACTTGACTCTCGCGACTCGGGCAATGCGTCACCGCGAAGTGAAATTGTTCGGCGCACAATTCCGCCGCTGAAAAGTCGCATCGGCCAGTTCCACGTACGCGCGCATCGCGTTATCTCCGCGCGGCAACGGCTCGAGTGCGCGGCGCATGCATATTAACGCGCTCTCCGCGGGCAGCCCGGCGTCTCGGCGCCTGACGTCCTCGTGTCGCGCGCTGCCAAACGAAGACATAGCGGGGAAGGGACCGCGACGAAGAAAAAGGGGACGGCCGACGGAGAGTAGACGGAGCGAGGCTGATAACGAAGAGAGGCGGTGCGTGCCGTGTCGCGGATCGCATCTCTGTACGTTAATGCGAAAAACGCGCCGTCGCCCACGCCGCGCGAACCGAGCTTTCGCGGCTCGATTCGTTCTTCTCCCGTTATGTCCCCGTTCGCGCCTCGCTCTCGCTTGTTTGCTACCGATCAGGCTGTGCGCAATGCGAAAAGGCAAACTGGCCAAGTAGCATCTAGCGCGCGCATATTGGGATTCGCCTAGTGGTCAATCGCTTGAACGCGAAAGCACGACAATTATCCGTTAACTAAGCTCTTTGATCGTCGTGCCAGCAGATTTTTCACTTTCCATATCGTACGTGGCAAGCCGCGACGGGAGTCGTCTCGCGCAAAGCGCCGTCGAGTTAAATAATGGAAGGCACGTGGTAAAACCGCAAGTCTCGAGCCTTAAGCTCAAAGCCACCCTCGAATAATTGTCATACGAAGTGAATGTGAACTTGAATAGGGGAAAAGAAAAGAGGATAACGCGGGCGCAAGAGAAACGGAGTAAAAGAGCCTCGGGGACATAATGAGATTCGCGTTTTTCTCGTTGTTGAAACCTTAAAGGTTTCATTTTACGAGCTGCTACGTGCACACGGATTTCTATTACTATTATTATTATTATTATTATTATTATTATTAGCATCGTTGCATTAAAATCACGATCGATAAAAACATTCTCTTCCCGCGCAAAAAAATTTAGCACTGTACATGACACTTCGATTCACATGGCGTGCAGTTAACTTCCATTATTAAAATGAACCATCGCGCTCCAATAATACATTATGCTCTGGATAAAGAAAAAAATGAATAAAAGAAGAGGACTTGAGCGCCCGAAGCAAACTTTAATTAAAACTCTGGCTGCTAAGTTTCCGCGTGGCAAACAAATTCCATTCCGTTGTTCGATTTTGTGGGGGATGCGGCTGAACGCGGGCTGAACGCGTCGATTCGGTTTCGCCTTTATTATCCTGTTTTTTCGGCCTGGTACCTCCGGTGTTGCGCGCGGCCTTTTTGTTTGCCTTCTCCTCCCAGCTTACACTCGTCTCGCTCCGCGCTGATTCTTGCATAAATGGAGATTCTCGCGGTTTTCCCGTTGAACTTGAGCGACGATTCTTTTGTTAGCTTTCGCTACGGGATAACGACTTTCATAGTTTCGAGCTTTTTAGAATTGTCGCGTAAGGTAAGCCATTGTTAACTTTTAAACGAGCTCTTTCCAACCGATGTAAAGCCGTTGAATCGTTCGTTAACGATATACTATTTTTCCTTCGGAATTATTTTCAAAGCTATAAAAGCCACATAAAAGATTTTATTGTTCCGAGTCGTTGACACGAAAAATAGTGTATCCGACGACGCGACGACGCGCCTACAGCCCGCATCATCGTCCCACTTGTCATTGACGTTTGCGTTATTGCGGCGCATAACTATGCCACGTATCTACGTTACAAGCTCATTACGGCGATCGTAAAACGCGATTTGGAAGCAGCTTTCAATTATCTGCCAAAAAACGACGTCTCATCCGTGCGACATTTTGCCAATTTATTCATTCGCCGTGACAATATATACGGCCGCGCGAGGCGATATCGCGCCTGGCAAGACACATAAATAAAGCGACAGGTACCGTTAAGTTTTCTTCAATGCTATCGCGCAACGGCGATGCGGCCGCGCGAATTATTCATAGATTGTCCCGTCTCGGTCTCGCGCGCGCGCGCCTATAGTGCCG